CTGTTGGCTCCTTAAATCTAATTGTGAGTTTACTATGTTTTCTACTTCAGTTTTTGTTATACTACTATTGTCCAAACGTGGTTCAGTATTCGATTTTGTTGATATAGTTGTTGATTGGGATGTAATAGATGGGGCTTGAGAGATTTGGTTAGGAATGGAGCCTTTATACAAATTTGGAGGATGTTCTAACCACAAATTTTTAAGTTCTGTAAAAAATGCATTAATGCCAGCAGGGTTAGCGATTTTCATCCAAGTATAAAGCTCTCCTGATAAATGACTCTTAAGAAGTCCTAAGATATTGGCATCACCATTAGCAACCCCTAATAAAAGAGGACAAATTCTAGCCTCATATGTTTCTGGATTATCAAATGGTAAGAATTTTTCTTGTGCTAATCTTTGAGTAGCAACTTGCTATGTACCAACTGTTTCTGTTTGATATTTATGACGCAACCAAACAATGAAACGGGCTGGGGTATCAATATTATTACCAGCATGTTGAGCGGGTATATTTGTATATTTTCTAGCCATCTTACTTTTTAAAATATCTGCTCGAAGCAGATTATCAAAGGCAGCTGCCGTAATTGATGGTAAAGTTAATATTTGATTAATTCTTTGATACCATTCATCTGGTGGGATTTGTTCACTATAATTTGGAATATCTGCAATTAATGGTGCAATACTGGTTAAGTCTCCTGCAACTGTTGCCATATTTGGTGGGTTATTATGTAGCACAAAAATTTGTTGATTTAAATTATTAATTAATTGTTCAGAATTTCGGGCCCGATTTTTCCACTTACCCTATTTATTTTCTATAGTCTTGCACTTATTTTTCTATTTGGTGTATCGATTTGTTGTAAGATTTAAGAGATGCATAGTAATTGCCCCATCCGTCTTACAATTTTGTAGTTGCTGGCTGTTTTGCCGGGCTTGAATCTGAAATTGTCTATTTAAAAGGCGTGATACAAATTTTTCTTGGAGTAGCTCTGATATACGCTTATTTTTTTCTATACAAGTTGCTTTTAATAAGTGATAATTAAGTTTGTGGGCTCTATAAGCTTGATAAAGAAGATCATAATCATTTTAAAGCATAGCTAACTGGGTTTGTGAATCAGCTATCTGGGTTTGTGAATCAGCTATCTGGGTTTGCAAATTTGTTAGCTGGGTTTGCAAATCTACTACTCGATTTTCTGCATTGATTGCATATGCATTAGCTCGTAGATATATTTCTAGTACTAATCTTTCAAGCCTATTTCCAGCATCAGAAATTATATTAAGATAATCTACGATGCTATTTATTGTAGGTGTTATTGTAGTTGGGCTTCGGAAATATAATGGATTTCTCATTAAATCCTATGATTCTGGATATTGGCTTGATTTTCAGGTAAAGATAATATGGGTAACCCTGGTTGTTGCACCATATCCCCACCTTCTTGCAATTCTTGCTCAAAGCTGGATATATTATTGTTATATTCAGTATATAAAATTAAGTTTTTTGTATTTTCTATATATAGTTTTTCAAGCTTGTGAGAAAAACAGTCGATTTCATCCTGAAAAATTACTAACCTTTGTTCTAAATAATCAACATAATTCTCTAGACTTTTAGAATCTTGAAACACCTTTTCTAACTGTTTTTTAAGGTTAGATATTTCTAGGTGTAATGGATCTAGTTCTTCATCCCGAATTAAAATTTCTTTTTCAAAATATTTAATATAATTCTCTTTTGAGTCCAGATCCTGCTGTAATTTACAAAATCGATTATATATTGCCGATAAACCATTTTGAGCTTTTTTGATTCTTTGCTAGATGGAATATCATCTGATAATATCTATAATATACCGACAATTTGAAAAACTTTGCTGGATAAAGAATTTTATTATAGTAAAATATATAAAAAATAGGAGAACCACAAATTGTAATAGATCTAGATGAGGTTCATAGTATAGAACAGAATCTTATTCTACAGAAGATATATTATCGACCTACTGAATATTTTTCTAACTCTAAATCCCTAAGAAATGCGTATAAAAAAGAAAGGCAAAATTAATAATGCTCGCATAGATTCTGACTCAGATACTTCTACTAATGAATCTGAATCTAATTCTAATTCTAGCTCTGAAAGTTCTTCATCTGAATCGGAGTCTGAAGCTGAAATTGATATTAATTTATCTCGAGCAAAAAAAAAGTGAAGAAAAAACATAGTGCTAGTACTTCTTTAAAGAAGAAGAAATCAAAGACTCACAAGTCTCATAAAGTAAAAGATACGGACACACCTCCTTTAGTATCAGTTTCTACTTTCAAAAAGGAAAAGCAAAGTTTAAAGCCCCTGTCACAGGATGAACAATCCCGCTTAGAAAAAATTATTAAAAAATTATTGAGGAAATGCTTAATGAAAAGTTTGGCACTATTACAACTGCCCCTTTTCAACTAGAAGCTGAAATTTCTAAAATACTGGCTGATTCTGAGGATGATGAGTTCATCGATGACCCTATGGAGATAGATTTTGTCCAGAGAAAAGAACCCGCCACAGATGTTGTTACTACTAAATGTAAAATCAAGCACTTGGTAATTCCCGGGGCCACAGTTGATCCTGGTGCTAACTTTGCAATTATGTCTGAGGACATTGCCAAACGATTGAAGCTAGAAATTAACACGAAAGAAAAATATGACCTTAGGGGTATTGCTACTACTCCCACAGAATCTCTTGGAATTGTTAGAAACGTTCCAGTGAATTTCGCTCCCAGGTGTACCATATATGCCGATTTTGCAGTAGTTAAGTATCTTAAGCCAATGCTTATTTTACCTAATACATTGCTTGATAAATATAACTATGATTTACTTGCTTCAAAGCGAGAATTGAGACTAGAATGTAATGGTAAGGAATTTTTTATTCCAGTCAATATGCACAAGGTCAAGAACAAGCTCGAGATAAATTGTGCAAACATAACTCCGGATTGTGATGATTTCTTGACTCCAGATAACATATTATAGGACTCACAGGAGTTAAGTGGGTATGACGATATATTAAAAAAAAACACATGACTTATAAAGAGCTTGAAAAAATATTATATACCACTCTTATTTCTGAAGCTAAATTAATTGAGATTAATAAAAACCTCCAATCCTTTTTTTCATGTTAACTATTATTAGAGTACTTTTGCTGAATATAATGGGCTAAAAGATGAGTTATGAGCTAGGCATTTTTCTGATTCACGTATAGCTTCTTCTGCTTCGATATGATTTTTTCCAATTGAAGCAATTAGATCATATGAGATGTCTAGTGAGGAATTTTGGCAAGAGCCTTCGGTTAAAATCTCAGGTAAATCAGAACTTTGAATAGGTTTGGGTTTTGATAACTTCTTTTTCTTTTTTGCTTTTCCTGTACACAATCCAAGAGGGACCCACCTGCCTCAATAGACTCAGAAAATGAAGGGGTCCTAGACGAACTAGATAATTCACTTGTAATTGACTCGTCTAACAATTTTAAAGATCCTACATTTGGATAATTGTTTTCTTTTTCTTGGAGGATATTTTCTGAAGGAGGGACTGATGAGATGGATTGTACTTTCCTAAGCTCCTCGAAAAAGTGGTTTCCATTTTGCTGTAAATGCTTACAATCATTTCATATATTATGAATACAATCTTTATTAATATAGTACTCATTTACTATCATGTACACCAGAACCTTATTTTTGAGATATCTAATTTCTTCAATCTGTCCAGGTGTTAAAATGGTGGCACCTCGCTGATAATAGGTTTTTAAAATTGAGGTAGACATAATCTTCTGATATTTTTAGACAGTGTATTTAGATGCATAAAAAATATTAGGTATTAATATTTATTGTTTTAGATAGATAATAAAAATTAGAATTCAATATTTATTATTTTAAAATGAGAGGAGACGTTAGAAAGCATAATTTATTGTTTTAGATGGGTAGAATACATTCTAATATGCTATCTAAAATAATAATAAAAACGATCGATAACCTTCGTGATTATTTTTTATTTATTGTGATTATTCTCTAACATAAAATTTGAAAGTTTTTTTTTTTACATGTTTATGGCTAATGTAAATAAATGGGAACATATGATTTTGAAAAAGAGATATGTCGCATCTTACAAGACTCATCCAAGATACGAGATTATAATGCTAAGTTGCGGAACAAATACATGAAGATCAATAATGAGGCCAGACGGTTGAAGGTTGAAAATTCTAAACTTTTTTCCCAATATGCTTGCACGGAGACTTCTCTCGCCAAATATAAAGCCAAATGTCATGCAAAATCAGAGGAAGTGAAATTGCTTCAATCTGTGATTAATTCATTACCCCCGGGATACTTTGATAAGAATAATCAGCTAGATGGTCCCGAGAGGACCGATTCATATGTAAAAAGTGGTGGCAAAAAAAATAATGAGCCAGAGAGATCATACTCACTACTATTTCTAAAGAAAAGATTTCATTAGGTGGTGCGGGGAACTCTATTGATATAGACAAATTACTATCATCAGTGCTCACCTGCTTGATATTGCTTTTTCTATTAATCGTAATTATATGGTTAGTC